AACCCCCCCATGTGAACGGCAGCCTGGCTGCGGGTCCAGAAGCTGTGGCGGTCTGCAGTGGGCGGCGTCGGGTAGACGTGACGGGCACCTTCAAAGGAGGCCATCTTCGCGTTTAATAAAGTGAACTGTCACCTTGGAGCCAAAGTGAGTAAGATAATCGCACCGCCGGGCTGCCGGCAGACACGGGGACGCCTTGGGAATGTCAAAGGAAGTTCTTGAGGGAGAGAGCCCCACTCGTCTGACTTGGCTGTGGGTCCCTGCTAGAAACATCTCTGAGCCCCCTCCTGGGCTTGACACCAGATCCATCAGTGAACCACCCCAGGTGGGGTGTGTCCTAGACGGGAGGGGCAGGTGTCAAACAGGGCCACAGGTGTGTGCACACAGCGCACCACAGCGCACACACACACCGTGTCCACGTCTTTGTATTCGTAGACGATGAGGCAGGGCTGGGGCCGGGTGTGTCTGGGGTGTTCGGAGGCTGGGGGCAGCACCCTGCCCTATCTGTGCAGCTGCACCCCTCCTTAGGCCTCAGTGGGAAGGACCTTGGCTGAGCTTGTTGGGGGGACCTCAGGAGATGCTGGTATGGCACCCCTATCTTCCTTGGCTCTGAGGGCTCAGGCTCAGGATGGGGGCCGCTGCAGGTAGGGTGGCTATGATCGCCCAGAGGACACTCTTGCAAGGCCGAGGACATTGAGAAATGAACTAGCGTGTGCACATCAGGGGCTGGGAGGGGAGGACAGGAAGGGGAGCACCTGGAGACCCCAGGGTAGGTGCCATCCCCCGGACCTGGGTCTCCCACCCTCACCCCCAGAGCTCCTTGGTGGTGAGCCCCGCTCCCACCCCCAACCCTGGGTATTTTGTTCTTGCAAATGAAGACCAGGGCAGATGTCAGTTCCTGGGGACACCTAGACACCCCACAACACCAAGGGAGCAAGCGTGTGGGGGAGGAATGAGGGAAAACTAGGCTAGACCCTTCAGGCCGGGGAGGGCTATGGGGGAGTAGAGTGTAGGTGTACGAGGCCCATCTGGGAAGGGGGTCCTTTTCCAGCCCCTGGCCTGGGGAAGTTGGTCCATGTCAAAAAGACCTCATGCCCTGGGCAGGGAAGGGGTTCTGCTTCTCAAATCTCCCTTGACTTTGAAGGATCCCCCTCCCTCTCAGGGTTCAACTGCAAAGGAGACTCCCTGGTAGCCTGGTTGGTTCTACAGTGTGGTAGGTCTGAGGTTCCTGTGTGGGTCGGGGGGTTCAGTGGAGGGAGGGAGGCAAGGAGTACCTGGAGGCTGTCCAGAGCCCAGGGTTTCTCAGAGGCGTAACTCTGAGCTCCCATCTGCAGACAGAGGAGGAAGGTAGAGACAGCCTCTAATCTGAGGCTGGGAGTCCCCCCCTGGCCTCACCCAGGGGACTCAGAGTCGGCTCTGGTCAGTGGGTCACAGCCTGGGCCAGATTCTCACATTTAGGGCAAAATCACAGGTAGCCCAGTGCCCCATTTAACTTGGAAGCAAAGTGGGAATCACACAGGGGCCTCCCTGGCACCCCCACAGTGTGAGGCGGGTAGGAGGGCCAGAGGGAGGCCATGTGCACTGCCGAAATCGCTGGTGATCTGAGGGAGTCCAGGGGCTTCTCAGGTCCCCGCGCTCGAATTTCCCTGGACAAGTGAAATGAGAGGTGTTCTGAGAGACGTTCCAGGGACCCACAGTGGGGCCGCACGGATCCCCTAGCGGCCTGCCAGGTGACAGCAGCTCCCATGCCCAGGGGGCAGTTAGAGACCAGAGCAGACCTAGTGGGTACAGGGTAGAGGCAGAAGCAGCCTGTGGGTGGTGGGAGCCGGGAGAGAGACTGAGGCCCCTGTCAGGAAGCGCGAGCACCCAGGCCCCTCATCTCAGGCAAGGATCTACGAGGCTCCGGTATCCCTTGCCCCACGGTCTCAGGTTGCTTCCCTGCCGGAGGCTGGGCCGGGCACAGAGCAGGCTTGGGGGTCCGTGGGTGAAACACCCCTGCCTCACAGCCCCGCTCTGCCCAGGGCACCAGACCATCTGTGCCTCGCTCCCCACATTGGCCAGTTTGGGTGAGGCTGAGGATGGTGCCACGGCTCCAAGGCCGACCTCACCTCACTCCCAGACACCTCCTATCTGCCCCTTCCATGCAATCCTGGGTCAGTTTCCAGGGACCAAGGTCCCCGCCAAAGCCACGTCTACAGGTGCCCCGCTGTGCTCCGCTAGGCCTCTGCTGCCCTCCCCGAGTTCCCGTCAGTCCAGCTGGGACAGTTCCTACTAAGACCCCTGCAGCCCGGGTGTTTATGGTGTAATGGTGGCGGGGGGTCTCAGCTGCTCAGATGAGGGTCCCTGGCATCTGCATCCTTCCTTCCCTGGGCTTCCCGGACCAGGCAGAGAGCACCCAGGAATAACCAACTGCTTTCTGCATGCCCGACCTCGGAGAGACCAGCTGGGACAGAGACGGCCAGCAGAGCTGCCTGCAGCGAACGGAGCTGTTTCCCTGCCCTGCACCCCCAGGTCTAACGTGGAGCTTCCTGAGAGGGGGGCTTGGATGCATTTTCTCAGGGGCCTTGCACACGTGTGTCTGAGAGTGGGTGGTGGGGGTGAGCAGGAGGCCTGCCTGGTGGGCACCCAGCACCTCCTCTGCCCAGTGACAGCCTGTGGCTGGAGCTTGACAAGCCCAGAGACCAGTTGGAGGGTCTGGAGGGTGGCAGAGTGCCCTCCCGCTGGGCATGCTCTCTGCAGAGGCCTGCACAAGCCAGGCTTCCCAGGTGCTGGGGCCATCAGCAGGGGAGGCGCGGAGTGCATAAAGCTCTGGCCTTGAGCCACCTCATAGGATCCTCCTTGGGGGCTCCCCACCCCACCACCTGCCCTCCCTGACCCCCCCCAGGGCCTCTCAGCCCCGGCCCCCTGCTCACTCCCTTTTCCAGTTCTGTCCTAGCCAGCGTTTGCTCCTTGTTCCAAAGGCAGCACCATGCCTGGGTTGGTCCAGGCCCCGCCTGGGTCTGGCCTCCACCCTGGATTCGGGCCTGGGCCTGTCTTTAGCCTGGCCCTTGAGCGACTTGCTGTGGGGTCCCTAAGCCCCACCCTCCTACCCCGCTGCTCTGTACGCCCTCCTGTGATCTCACACAAGCCCCGTGACAAAAGCCATCTCCCATTGACAGGGAAAGCACAGGGGCTCGGAGCGACAGCAGGACTGGCCTAGGGTCACCAGCTGGGAAGCGAGGGTGCAGGGTCATGAGGGTGGGGTGTGGGGAGAGCCTGGGCACGGGGCTGCCCCCGGGATGCTGCTGATGCTCATTTCATGATCTCCCCAGCCATTTTCTTTTCTTTTCTTTTTTACTTTCTTTTTTTTTTAAATTTGCCTGGGGCCGGCAGGTGGCACGGTGGGTTTTGTTTGTTTTTTTGAGATGTTTTTGCTATAGGACATGTGAGCTCATCAGAAAGCCAGAGAGAGAGTGGGGCCGGCAAGTGGCATGGTGGTTAAAGGTGCTGGACTCCCACATGGCCGACCACGGTTCAAGTCTCGGACCTGGTGGCTTGCTTTCTCACTTCCTCTCTCTCTCTCTCTCTCTGTCTCTCTCTGCTCAAACTGGAAAATAATAATGATAATAATAAATAAAGTTAAAACAAAATAATTGTTAAAAAAAATAAAGAAAAGAAAGACAGAGAGAGACAGAAAGCGAAAAATCACCCCCCAGGGGGGAATGGCCACGCCGCAATCCCTTCTCCTCCATTCTCTTCTCGGGATCTTGGGCATGCACGCACACACGCCCAGCTCGAGTTTAAGCCACCAGGTCTGGAACTCGAATCACAGTCAACTACATGGGAGTCCAGTGACATAGCCATTATGCCACCTGCTGGTCCTGGCATGGAGGTTAAGGTGCTGGACTCCCACATGGCTGACCGCGGTTGCAGTCCCGGACCTGGTGGCTTGCTTTCTCACTTTCCCTCTCTCTGTCTCTTTGGTCAAATTTAAAAACAAATGATAATAACAAATACAATTAAATAAAGAATTTTTTTTTTTTAATCTTGCCCAAGGGTTTGCGTACTGGCCAGAGACAGACAGACGACAGAGAGAGTGGGAGGGGAGAAGGCACCCTCCAATATGGTGTGGTCACGCCTCAATCCCTTCTCTATTTCTCCATCCTGTCCGGATGTGGGGCATACACACGAGCCAGCATGCTTTTTTTTGGCTATAGGGTACATGTGCTCACTGAAGAGAGACAGAGAGGGGGAGGCAGGAGAAGAGGGAGGGAGACAGAGGGAATCAGCCCCTAGGGAGGATGGCCATGCTGCAACCTCTCCTCCCCGGGGTTTTGGGCTTGCACGCACACATGCCCAGAGTGTTTTTTAAGCCACCAGGTCTGGGACTCAAACCACGAAGCTGGCCCTATAGGATCCAGC